TGAGGGCTGATGGAGGAAATGTGGGGGTTCCTGCCCTTTGGGGGTCCCCCTGTGTCTGAGGATGAGGTCAGGCCCGGGGGACTTGGGGGTTTGTGTTTCCCCCCAGATTTTTCTGCTAGGGAACCTGAACCCCCATTTCTCCCCCTTGAGGGTCCATCCAAGCTCAGACCGCCCAAATCCACGAATGGGCTTCTTCTCCTCCAACCCCACCTCCCCATGGAGGGGATCCCCAAAATCTGGGGGCTCAGACAGACATTTCCTGCCCCTCAAATGTTCCTGGATCAGGGAGTCTTCAGTCCCCATCTCTGTCTTTGTGGGACCCCTCCAAGCTCAACACCCCACAAATTCACGTCCTGAATGGGCTCCTTCACCCCAAAACCCACCTCTCCACAGAGGGGACCCCCAAAATCAGGTGCTCAGGTGGGCACCTCCTCACACAGATGTGTCCAGAGTGTTTTTGGGGGGATTCTCTGCCCCACAGTGGGGTATCCCTGCCCCGTATTGGGGGTTGGTCCCTTGGCTGCCACCCGGGTGGGGTTTTGGGGTGCAGTGACAAGCTGGGGCCTGTCGGGCAATTAACTGCGTAATTAGCGTCAGGAGGAGCCGCCCAAACTCTCGGTACTTTCACACGCACACCCCTGCAGTCCTCTGCTCCCGGCACCCCAAACCTCCTGCCGTGCCCTCCCCACGATCCCCCGCAGCCCCCGAGGCTCTGCACCCCCAGACCCAGCACGTCTGGAGTCAGCGTTGCCTTTTTAACTGGGGGAGATGTGCAGTGCCCCCAGAGCTGGGGAACCCCAGGAAGGGGGCCTGGGGGGGTGGCTCGGGGTGTGGCCTCGTTTTTGGGACCCCGGTTGGGCTTTGGGGTGCACTCCAGCCCTTTAGGGGGTGTTCTGTGTTTGGGATCCCCAGGGCCTGGGGACGGTGGGGGAGAGATGGATGCTGGGGGGCAGCCCACCTCTTTCCCACCCTCAGGAATTTGGGGATGGGGTGATGCTGCAGCTGGGGGCCTACTGAGTTCAACCCCCCACCCCAGTCCCAATGGTTTTCCCTCAAAAACACGGGATCCCCCTCCCTTGAGCACCTGTCCCGACCCTTTTAACACTGAATTCACCCCATTTTGGTGTCCTTGTTTGCCCCACATGTGGGAAGAAACAGGGGCACCTGGGTATCCAGTGGGTCTTTATTCCCATGGCATATTCACGTGGGTTCCTGTGGAACCCCCAGCGTCTGCCCTGCCCCTGTCTGGGGCCCACCCCCATCCTGTGAGCCCCAGAAAGGTCCTCACCCCCTCATGGGGATCACGGGGGGCTGCAAGCGAGTGCTCCTTCCTGGGGCTGTCTCCCCAGCGATCCCAATCCTCCTTCCCTGGGCTCTGTTTCCCGGCGCTGGGGCTCAGATGAGCTTTCTCTCTGGCTGGGCATGGTGTGGGATCCCCCCCGTGACAGTGGGACAGCAGGAGAGGTGACCCCAATGGCACCACAACAGCAATGAGCCAGCCCGTCCCTGGGGGCTGTGACCGCTGGGACTGGGGGTGCTGTGAGCTCCTGCTGCCAGCCCTGCTCCCGCCGTGGATCCCGGGGCTCTCGGCACTACCAGGTGCCGCCCGTCTTCTGCAACACCTGCTTTGATCTCCCGGGAATCCATCTTGTTGTTCCAGCCGCCACCCCTCCTGCTCCCAGCCCTGCAATTTCCCAGCTCGGTGGCTGCCAACGGAGCAGCCAGGAGTTTCCGGATCTGAGGTTTTCCCA